GAAGTCCACTCCGTGCTCCAGCGGCTAAGTGCACTTGCTTGGTGCAAAAGATTAAGTTGCCACGCAGTTTGCACACTGTCATAAATATGCACATGACTATCGACTAACTTTTCTTATATATTCAGGTCTTAGCCGTTTTTATGTTAATGTGGTGTATTTTGATCCTTAATTGACATACTCAAACAATACAGTTGCTACTTCGAGTATGCATTTTGAGTATACGAATAATGTGTCATTTGTGTGACAGTGGTGTGCTTGACTTGTTTTTTAAATTTCATGGAAAAACTGAAGAATCATCTTAAATGAAAGAAAGTGTGAGAAGTGCAGTGCATCAACCCTCCCCTTGGGCTGTGCCCGAGGGTATGTCCAGTCATGGCAACTTTGACCGTTGAGTAAATTTTGTGTTGGTTACTGTGTGCACTTGCAAATCAAGCTGAGCCCACTCTTTATCCCCCCCCAAAACCCCCGGTTCCTCACATGTCCCCTAAGATTGCTGGGTGGAGTTGGGGACTTAGTCTCTGGCGAGTGCATCTCTACCGTAAAGAATTACCCTTTTCTCTTATGTGTCTCCTTTATTTTTGATTCGTGCACCTTATGCCATAGATGAAAAGTGCCTTAGTTTACATGAAGGTAATCATTCCATACACTTTATTTACTGCGACGCTGATTGTCATCTGCTGTAAATTTATCCAGTAAAATGGCCTTTTGTTGGCAAATTGAAAACATTACACCCCTCCCCCTTCTATGCTGATTTTGCAAAGGTCCTAGTTCTGTGGTATGATTCCTACATGTATGTATATTAGAAGGTGAGAGGAATTCTTACCAAAGTGTGAGTGTTAAGTGTAGAGGCTGTGTTGGAGTCCATGTTGCTTGAATGGTGATTGACTTTCAACTGACGGCGATGCGTTCTTACCTGCATTTAAGGGTTCATGTTTGAACATGTTACAAATGTTAGTACAAGAAAGTTCAGGTGCATTGAAATTAAAATCCATCCAAAAAAATTTTTGTCATGGACTTTTTCCACAAACTTTCTGAAGCCCCTTCGTAAGTTGCAGGGAATGTGTGAAATAGAAATAACACACAAACCCTAAAATAATCAGGGATTTCTAGTAATCACTGTAACACAGTTATTATGCAAAATCTGAAAACAGTATTTGATATAGAATATAATAATGTTACAGTAGTATGTATGGTATATCAATAATGACTTGACATCTAAATGGTAAAATATATATTGAGAGAGAGAGAGAGAGAGAGAGAGAGAGAGAGATAGATAGATAGATAGATAGTAGATAGAGATAGAGTAGATAGATAGATAGATAGAGATAGAGATAGATAGATAGAGAGATTGAGAGATTGAGAGAGATATAGAGAGAGATAGAGATACATATACATATATATATATATATATATATATATATATACATATATATATATATATGTGTGTGTGTGTGTGTGTGTGTGTGTGTGTGTGTGTGTGTGTGTGTGTGTGTGTGTGTTGTGTTGTGTGTGTGTTTATACATACATAAATTTTTGTGTATATATATATATATATATATATATATATATATATATATATATATATATATATATGTATGTATACAATATGTATATGCATATATAATATATATGTATATTATATATACATATACATGTATGTATGTATATATATATAATATATATATATATATATATATATATATATATATATATATATATATATATATATGTATATATATGTATATATGTTTATATGTGTGTGTGTGTGTGTGTGTGGTGTGTGTGTGTGTGTGTGTGTGTGTGTGTGTGTGTGTGTGTGTGTGTGTGTGTGTGTGTGTGTGTGTGTGTGTGTGGTGTGTGTGTGTGTGTGTGTGTGTGTGCGTGTGTGCGTGAGTGGTGTGTGCGTGTGTGTGTCAGTCCATATATATGTATATATATGTATATATCTACATATATATATGTTACTGCATACTTAATTTCAACAGAATTCCTGAATACATCAAGTGCTACCTACTTGGCAGCAGATAAGTTGCCCCCAGGGCCAGAACAGCAAGCAGCCAATGAAGCCGAAATGAGGCGACAGGAACTGCTAAAGCAGATGAGGCAGGTCAGGGATGTGTTTTTTCTCCATGACAAATATGATTAATTACAATTGGAATGAATGTTCATATAGTATTCCCATATCTGCATCTAGATAAGTTATGAAATTGATATGTAAATAATTGAAAATGTTTTAAAAGTCTTCAGTTGTTTGATAAATTGATCATCTAAAACATTGATCTGTTGAAATTTATAGATATATTTCCTCTAGTTGTAAATATAATGGCATGGTATAATAGGTGTGGCGATAGGGAGTGAGATCGAACTTGAAAGGAGACTGAGTGCTATTGTGACTAAGATCAATAGCTTACTGCATTCAAAATGAGCAGTTACAGAGTTTGCGACTTTTAAACTCTTACCATAAAAGAGTAAACTTATGGGCAGGATGCTGGCCAATATTTTCTTGAAATAAATGCATGCTTTTTGTATCTTATTGTATTATATTGTTAGTTTGTACCATGAAATAAATCAGAATGTTATTGGTTTTAATTTCAGGTGGAGCAGCGAACATTAGAATCTTCAAAAAGAAGTATTGGAATGTTACATGAATCTGAAAAAGTGGGAATTGAGACAGCTGAGGTATGAAAGGAAAGATGGAAATAAGGATTGAGTTAGAGTATTGAATCTGTCCACATATTTCTTTATACATAGGATGATGATTAAGAAGCTAATGAATAAACATCTGAAGTGAGATGGTTATATATTTCTGATGATCTATTTTTAAGATGCTTTAGTTCATGTATTGGTATTTACTTTTCTTTTTCTAACAGGAATTGGTTAAACAAAGAGAACAGCTTATGAACACTGAGAGAAGAATCGATGATATTAATAATACACTAAAAGACACACAGAAAAACATCAATAGCATTAAGGTTAGTATGCATATTACTTCTGCATTGTTAAAACTGTCTTTGCAAAGTCTTGACTAAATATGGTGAAATTAAAAATATTTAGGCAGGTGCTTCATAAAGAGTTAATATGTCCCACAAAATTACATCTTGTTAGATAAGTGGAGGAGAACCTGTTGTATAGATATATATTAACTCTTCTAACATTTGATGCTATTCATAACATTCGTCAAAATATGTTTTTATGCAGTAATGGGATGTTGATTTGTGCCATATGTGTATCATAGTCAATTTTGCCAGTTTGCACAATCATAATCATTGTTTAAAGCATTTATACACCAAAGGTTATTTATTAGCTCCATTTATTGTACATGTATTTTCCTTTCTTTGTAATAATTATTTTATGATTGATAAAGCTAGATGTTGTTTATTGTTGTGTCCTGTGATAACCAAATAAATCTTTGTTACTTTTCCCAGAGTGTTTTTAGCAGCTTGAAGAACTGGTGGTCAACCCCGAAACAGACAAACGACGATGGCAAAGCTACCTCTCCCACCTCTCCCAATGCTGAGAACCCACCTGCTGTCACTGCCAACCCGAATTTAGGCCCAGCGTATGAGAGGAGCCAGATGTCTGTCTCGACTCTGAAACCCAGTACCCATCCAGGTGAATAGGAAGCATTAACCAAGATGTGTGTGTGTGGGGGAGGGAGGGGTAAGGCAGAGGACAGGTTTATTGCTTATACTTTGCTGAGTTTAGGATATGGATGTAAGTTGATGGATGAGTAAATGTGAATGAATTAAAAAATAGGGTTTATGTAAGAGGAATAATGTTGTTTCAAGATGTAAGTTCTTAAGGAATTATAGTATTTTTGCTGAAAGTGATTGGAATTGCTGAGATGAAAGGTTGGGTCATTTGATTCCTATTGAAATAAGTAATTGATAATTCCTTATACAATGTAAAAGACCATGGATTTTATTGATATAAAGGATAGAAAGATAGAGATTAGTTTGATTATTAGGATTGTTTTGTGTGCCACACTTATAATCATGTCCATTTTCACTATCACTGAATGATTATTGTTAAAAAAGAGTTAAATTAAAAGATAAAACGTATAGAATATGCTCTAGGACTAGATAATGAGTAAATACTGGTGGTGAGATAAAGTGATAACTCGGCAGTCACTGGAAGGTTTTTCCTTGATACATGTTATTGAAACTGATTCATGTAGTTTCAGCTCTGTTCCTTGTACACCATTCAAACAGTGGTAATAAGGTTATTAAATTATCTACAAAATAGTGAAAACTCAATTTACTGAATCTTTATTCTAATCAAACAACCATAGGCAGTTATAGGAAGTTAGTTGTCAGTAAACTTTCATCTCCCATTCACTATCAATATTATATTAATTTTCTGAATGGGAACTAGCTTCTGGATCCCCCAAAACTTTAGTGTATTTATTATAGTTATAGTATTTGTTTGCCATTGAAAGTAGAATAAGAAATAGAATATCAGAAATTTGTTAGCAATCTTGCTGTATTTCCTGCATGAAAATATGCTGTGAAGGTAGTAGGTTATGAAGAAATTTACTTGCTCTGTATATGTTTATATTTTATATGAAAGATTAAGTTATAAAAGTAGTAAAAGACTATATTTACTGTCTAATTCATTATCTGCAACCCATGATTTGATGTCACTGACCTAATTTTTTTTTTTTTTTTTTTTTTTTTTTTTGTTGCCTTGATTTATTTTTGTTGAACATTTTTCAGACCAAATCTAAGCACATTTTCTTGATAACCCAGAAAAGCAAGTAAGCCAAAGGTATTTTGATATACTTTATTTCTTTTAAGAAAAATGTATGAGTTTTCTTATTTTTTTATTTCACAGCAATGCGGCTAAAAGGACTAGAAGAAGAGGAAGAAGTGGAGCCTGACTATAGAGACTTCCGTGCTAACGTGACACGTGTCAATAAGGAACTGGACTCAGACCTAGGTAATGATGTTTAATATGTATATATATATATATATATATATATATATATATATATATATATATATAATATATATATATATATATATATATATATATATATATAGATAGATAGATAGATAGATAAGATAGATAGATAGATATAAATATATAAATATATGAATTTATAAATGTATATGAATATATAATATAATATATAAATATAAATATATAGATATATAAATATATATATATATATAAAGTGCATGTCAGAAATCTTGGCGCGAGAGGGACCGTGTCAAGATCTTTGACGTTTTTCGGTAATGCCCCTCTAACATCATGCAAATTGACCTATAATCTTGATGCCGCATCAGCTGATAGATTACTCATCTAACTCCACATTGGTGGTTTCAGATATCACTCAGTTACCTCTGGGCAGTGATAGTGAGCAGAATTGCTATGTGCTTTTTTCGTGAATAGCTTAGCATTTTGCCTGAGTTCTATTGCTGTTTTTGGTCAGTGTGTTGTGATGGCTGTTTGTGCTGCCTCAAGCTTGGGGATTGATGAGGTATCATGTTCACGTAATCTGTTCTTCATTAGTGCCCACAAGTTTTCAATAGGATTTAAAGCTTTGCATTATGGCAAGGTGCACCATCCTACATAAACACGTCTGTTTGGCACCGCTCAAAGTAATCTTCAAAATTATCACTCATTAGTTCCAAATATCTGTCTGCATTCATCAAAACATTCCTTGGTACTATTACCAATGTCCCCACACCATGGTAACCAAAGGCACACCACACCATCAATTTATCAGGATATTTCATTCTCCTGGATGAATCTCGGGTCACAAGGATCACTTTCATGGCGGCGATAAACTTTGCCGTCTCTGTTTCCAGTTACACTCATCATCGCTCCATAACACTCGTTTCCCCTTGTCCTCATCCCACTGAAGATATTTCTTGCAAAAAGCAACCGTATTTTGCCTCTGCTTAAGAGTAAAAATCGGTTTCTTGCGAGTGACGTGGTGGGAAAATTTCAAATCATTGTGGAGCAGTCGCTGTATGGTCTCACAGACACACCAGACAGTAACACAGGGTTCCTTTCTTTTAATTCTGGTGCTGTTATTCATGGCTGACTATCCACCTGCCTCCTGAGCACATTTAATGTGTGTTTAGATGTTTTCTGTGGCGCCTCTGGCTGCTTTTTCTACATTGGCGGGTCAGTGTCTCCACAGTCATGAAATTTTGTTGTCCACCTCTGGACACTTCGCTCTGAAATTCCTTTTGTATTTGATATATCTGTATTCGACTTTCCCACCTTACAGAATGCTGTAATAGCAGTAATCTGATCACTTTTCAGATGTTTACCTCCACCCATCACAACACACAGGCCAAAAACAGCAACAGAACTCAGGCAAAATGCTAGGCTATTCGTGAAAAAAGCACGTAGCAATTCTGCTCACTATCACTGCCCAGAGGTAATTGAGTGATATCTGAAACCACCAATGTGGAGTTAGATGAGTAATCTATCAGCTGACGCGGCGTCAAGATTATATGTCGATTTGCATGATATTAGAGGGGCATTACCGAAAAACTTCAAAAATCTTGGCGCGGTCCCTCTCGCGCAAAGATTTCTGATGTGCACTGAATATATATATGTATAAATATAAAGATAAAGATAAAGATAAAGATAAAGATAAATAATAGATATAGATATATAGATATAGATATAGATATAGATATATAGATATATATATAGATATATATATATAGATATAGATATATATATATATATATATAGATATATATAGATATAGATATATATATAGATATATATAGATATATATATATATAGATATATATATAGATATATATATATATAGATATATATAGATATATATAGATATATATATATAGATATAGATATATATTATATAGATAGATATAGATATAGATATAAATATAGATATAAATATAGATATAAATATAAGATATAAATATAGATATAGATATAATATAATATAGATATAAATATAAATATAAATATAAATATAGATATAGATATAATATAAATATATATAAGTATAAGTATAAGTATAAGTATAAGTAAATATAAATATAAATATAAATATAAATATAAATATATAATATAAATAATATATATAATATATATAAATATATATATATTATTTATTTATTTATTTGTTGTTTATTTTGGTATTATTATTTAGTTGTTTGTACAAGCCCATTGATAGAAATGAAAAGGGTTCATGGCTTGCAAGCATGGAAGCTCTTTAAGGTGTTCAGTAAGTTTTATGAAGGCAAACTTCATTGCATTTTTTTATGGTTTATTTTTTTCCATTATTTAGAACTGATGTATGATTATGATTATCCTTCTTAAATGTTTTCTGTACCGGTTGTATTTCTCTTGGCCCTCCACCCTCCATAGGTATGTGACAGGCATAACACAAGCCCACTGATAAAGGCCAATTAGAAAGCCTTGCACAATGGCATCTAAGTCTCATGAATCATGATGAAAATGATGAAGGTGATGTTGGTGATAGTAATTATTATCACATTTATTTTTTAACTGTTACCATGAGCATCACTTACGGGTATGTGCATCCAAAAGAATTACCCAAAATTATGTTTATTACATTTTTTGTTAAATTAAACTTGTGTTGTTTTGTTGGACTGAATCACATGATTGTCACAGATTAAAGTAAATATATAAATGCTAAGGTTATAGATCAATGTTTAGATTAGCAAAAGATTTGATAAACATATCTACGGTCAACTGGTTCGAGAACACTTTTGGATGTGCGTACATATGTACAGAAAAAAGACAACCATCAGTTAGCAAATATTTACAGTATGAGTGTGTACATTTGGCAACATTGCATTTTAAGATCATAACAACTTTGTTGATTGAGAACACCTGCATGTCCATGATTACTTTGAATGTTGCTCATCACTTAACAAACCTTTATGATCAATTTGATTTTCTTTAAGCCTTTACACTTAATAAAGGATATTTTTTACTTGTCTAAAAATGGAAATTATTCTGTGACTTAATGGTATGTGTTGTTTACGTACACTAATATATATATAAAAATATGAAGAACTGTAAATTTAAGAGTTCCAGTGAGCAGCCATGTTTCAAACATATCTAGGCTCCAGAGTTAAGTTAACAGAATATGTTAACCTGCAGATAATTGATATTCACAATCTTGGAAGGTGTACCAATTTTCTTGTTTCTATTTTGTTTCTATCTCTGTGCTCGTAAGTTTTTTTTTGTGTCTGTGTGTTTTAGGATAGAAAAATAGAAGGAAGAAAGAAGGATGAAGATCATTAGAAATTTATGGGAATTGCATAATTAAAATTGAAAATTCTGTTCTTTCCAGATGTGATGTCTGCCGGCCTCTCTCGACTGAAGGGTCTTGCAATTGGCCTTGGAACAGAGATTGAAGACCAGAATGTAATTGTTGATCGCATTACGGGCAAAGCAAACAATGCTGACATCACCGTAGGGGCTCAAAATGCTCAAATAAAGAAAATTCTCAAGAAATGAGATGAGAGAGTTTAGATTATATTTTGTACGTTTATCCCTCCACAATGAATATTTTGGACAGCCTCATTGTTCATAGCTTAAGCCTAAGAATGATCATCCTCCATTCATGATATTATATAGTATGATTTTTGTATTCTCTTGGTGATCATTTTTTATTGGGTGTTTCGCTATAATGATGTAAGAAATTGATTTTAAATTTGTACAGGATCCTAGATCTTTGAAGAAGTTAATATATATATATATCTATCTATATAAGTAATTACATATGAAATTTTATGAAAGAAAAGCCAGGCTAGAAAAATGTGTAATATGATTGCTGTGCTTTATTTTGCCACCCAGAGATGACTCTAAGATATAAATTTATGTGTCAGATAAGAAACAAGTATTCTGTTTTATATGCCAGTGCCTGTCAAATTACTGTAATCTTTTGAGAAAAAGAAATGGATTTAACTAAGCATATTTTCAGTCTTACATGCATGTACACACAATCACTCACTTTACTCATTGCAAACACACGCAAGCAAACACATACTTGCTATTACATAAGTACTTATTGATTCACTCATATAGTTGTGTGTGTGTGTGTGTGTGTGTGTAATAGATTATTCATGGATACCAAGGCAATTGATAAGATTTGGACATACTACCTTTCATGAAAACTTGTTATTCAGGCTTTAAAATGAGGATGAAAGATGGGCAATTATTAAGAAAAATAAAAATTAGTGTATTGTTAATTCAACACTTCATTGTATAGTAGTAGATATGTTATGTATTATAGAAATGTCAGGGTTAAGAAAAAAGTCTTCAAAATTATTTACTTTGGTATGTATGTATGTCTTCTGTCTGCATGATACTAAAAGATTGAATATATGTATATGAACAAATATATATTTCATTATTTAGTTCCAAGAGTCAAAAAAATGTATTTCGCTATTAGTTTATCTTCTTGATTTAAGTGACAAATGTTTGCATAAATTTGAAAAAGACATTTTTAGAATTTCACACCCTGTTTGGAGTAAGAAAATCAGCAGTTGTGCAGTTTTTAGTAAATAGCCATGTTTTTATGTTTATATAAAATTGCAATAAATATGAAGAACAGGACCTTTTTAACTTTCTCTAATTTGGAAATACATTTTCCTTTTTAGTGCACCATGATGAAAACCTTCCTCTGATAAATCTTTGGGGTCAGTTTAATAGTAAGAATTGTAATGCTGCTTCCTCCGGAAGAAAAAGTTCATGGAAAACTTGGAGTTGCAGATTATACCACAACCTTGTGTCATATCTCAGAGGCTAATGCCAAGCAATCCGAAGTTATTGGATTCTTCACTTATTCAGGACAGGGATTGTAGTGTCTGTTACTCACAGCTCAGGGCAGCATAGTCATTGTATGGATATTGCAGTCTTGTTTATTTACAATATGAATTTTCCTTAGACTCAGAGGTTGTTTGGTTGCAATAAAGCACCCCTTGTGACTGAAAGGAATGTGTGAGGGAGTGAAAGAGTGAGTGATTAA